CATTAGATATTATATTACCAATAAAATTAAAATTAAGAATAAAAGTAACCAAAAAGCATAGCAAAATAATATACCATAATCTAAAAGTATAAACAAAAATAAAACATTAAAAGAAAAATAAAAACAAAATTAAAAATAAAAATAAAAATAAAAATAATTGATAAATTATATGTCTAAAATTATAAATGAGAAAAGAATAAAAATATTATTTTTGTATCTATCAATCCAATAATTTTTTGCTCATGTATAATGTATTAAATGTAATCTTATCAACTTTCTTTTTTATCAGAATCCAATCTTCACATATGTATTTTCTTACAAAGGTGTTCATAGATTTCTTTACCAAAGAGACTGATTTTTGTAATTGATTTACTTTTCCTATTTGTAAATCTTTAACTTTATTTGTAAGTTAATTTGAATTGTCCTTTACTTTGAATTCTAAAAGTTGATTTGAATTGTCCTTTGCTTTGGATTCTGAAGTAATTTTATCTGTTTGAGAAATACCTTCTCTTTTTTCCCATAAAATAACTTGTTCACATCTTGGTTTCCATATTAATTCTTTAAATGCTAGAATGAATTGAATTAAAATGTTGGCCATAAGTGTCTGTGCCTCAGCAAGAGATATCTTGAAGTCTTTTTGTAATATTATTAATAGACAAGTTTCAACTTTTACTTCTAATGCCAAATGTTGGAACTTTTGAAATTTTTCTGACTTTGCTGTAATTCATAATATGTTTTGTAATACTTTTCTAATAAAATCTTCACCTTGGCATCTAATTTGTTTTTGTTTCAAACATATAATTATAGATTCTTTTGTTGTAATTTCCAATATTTTTTGCCAAGTTACCTCATATGAATGACATTCAAATAAATGATTACAATTTTCTTTCTTATTACATTTCATAATACATTTCATTTCCTTGTAGAGTTTTGGTTTTCTTATTGCTAAAATGGATCCTAATGGAAGGATTTTATGAAATAATTTTGCTATAAAAGTCCATAAATAGTTAATTCTCATACTATTGCAGTAAAACCCCTTGCAATAATGGAAAATAAGCCAAGTAATTTTCCAGTCTATCTGATTAACATCTCCATAACATAATTCCTGATTATTTTTTAACAATGACCATTCAGTAGCTTCACCTGTAGCTAATATTTTCAAAATAAATCTTCTAATATTAACTTCAATAGGTTTATCTATAAAAACAGGGAAATAAGATAATATATTATTAATAAAATCTACATTATTCCTAAATAAATTGTTTCCACATCGTCTTTTCTTTGCTAATTTATCAGCTATATCATTGCCTATTATGCCACTATGACCCTTTATTTTAACCAACTTTAAATTTATAGATGCTTCTTTAATCAGCATAATTATTTTAATAATGATTAGATTATTGGTCTTTTTAAGTCATGTTCTAGTTGTTGAATTAAAAGCTGAATTAATTAAATTAATAGCACCTAAGCTGTCTGTATAAATAGTTACATTAGAATTTTCTGGTGCTGTCAACAATGCCAAGAAAATAGCTACTATTTCTGCCCTGGTTGATGATGGTCATAAAGATAAACATGAATATACTGAAAATTCTCCTAATCCTTAAATTTGTTAAATTTGCTAGATTTAATAACAAATTAGCTATTAAAAAGATTGCAATTTGTAAATTTGGTTTATTTAATATTAGTCTTAAAATGATGAGTAGTTTAGTACTTAATAGTATCAGGATATAGTTCTAGATTAGATATGTATATAGTTATTTTTCTTTAACTTTTCTTAATAAAGTATTAAATGTGCTACAAGCAACAAAAAAAAAAAAAAAAAAATATTGACTTTTTTATTATTTATATATATATTGTTTATTCAGATCATTGTATTATTTCAAACTTTTACAATACTACTTAAATTTTAAATCGTCGGCTGAAAGTTTGTAATGTTGGCCAAAAGTCACGTGCAATTGAAAATTTTTGCATTTTTATATTAAATCGTCTTTGCGATCTGCATAAAGTAATCGCGTAAACAAGTAATCTGAATAACCACGGAAAAATCGTTAATACGTTTGTGTTATATATATATTTTTTTATCTTTTATTGTGAAATGCCCTTTTCAATTTAGGAGATATTATTTCTACCGTTTGGAGCTATTAAAATGTATAATAGAGAGAATCGGCCTTTTGTGAATCCTAAAGCTGTTGAGCTTAGGTCAACTAGAATGAGTACAAGAAAAAGAATGCAACTTAGCAAGCAAAAAGTGGTTGAAGAAACCGAATTGAATAGTGATGTTTCTACCGAACATCCGGAAGCAACCACAGATATAAATACCGACTCTTCAAATAAAACTCCTAATAGAGAAACATCACAGCACCAACGACAACAAACTTCAACGCTCAGAGAACAACAACAAATGAATACACCACAAAAACGACAACTGTTGACAACGCCTCTACAACAACAAAAGCAAGATTATTCTCCTCAACAAAGTCGTAGTTCTTCAAAATCTGAAATATCGGAGCAAAGAATAAGAAAAGCTGGTGGCCGTATACCATTTTCAATGTCAGATGAAAATGAACTACTTGAATTCTTGCTTAATCAATCAAAGCACCTTCGTGGTAATAAAATTTATGAGCAATTAGCTAAACAAAATCCGCGTCATACCGCTCAATCTTGGCGTGATCATGCTTTAGAAAAATATATTGACAAACCTCATTTTGTTAAAGAATGGGAAAAAAAATGGTTGCCTAATAATGATTCGGGGGAGACTTCTACTGATATTACGAATAAGACAGTTGAAGCTGATAGAACTAACAAGGAAAAAGAAGTTAGCAATAATAAAGAACAAATTAACGTAGAGGGATCATTAGATTTCTTTGATTTGGAATCTGATGATGCCGCTGCTGAAGCTTTGATACTGGGACAATCTACCGTTCAAGAAAAAGAACGTGTATCAGACGAAGAGGAGGAAGAAGAACTACCACCTCTCGAAGCAAAAGTTAATGATCATCAGAACGAAAGAAATTATTCTAAAGGTAGTGAAAATAATGTTGGAATAGACGATGATTATCTTACCGTTCATGATGAATTGAATGAATCATCAGAGGATTGTTACTCTGTATCGGAAGATTCAGGAATTGAAAATGGATTACTAATTTCAGGTAAAACTGGTCAAGCATTAAGACAACAAGATACAGAAAAAGAAATACAAAGGCAAGATACGCTCGATTCTGATGTTGGACCAAAACAAAAAGGTAAAAGAGTTCGACAAGATAGCGATGATGAAGATGAAGATTATGAAGATGATACTACTGAAAAACAATGGAATATAACACCTATTAGTCAATCAAAAGAAAAAGAATTCCTTTTTAATGAGCAACAATCCTTGATGGATATTAATCAACTAGTAAAAGAAACTCGTAGACCAAAAGAAATTTGTAAGGTTGCATTACAGATGTCAACTTATCATTACGATATAGCCAGGGAATTATTATTGTTTGGTCTTAGAAATGAAATCTATTCAAAAATTTGGACTGATGAAGAGGATGAGCAGTTATTAAAATATCAAGAAGATGTAGTTAATTTAAATAAAATTATTGATAAACATAATATTGAATCAACTAGAGAACGTTTATCTTATCTCAAGAAAAGAAAAGAAAAAAATATTTAAAGATGAAGAGAATTTTTTTATTTATGGTTTTTGTGTAGATGCATATTAAAAAAGGGTTTAAATAAAATATTTATTATGCTTGACCAGGAGTATTACAGCAATATATTTAGATATATATAAGTCTTTATCAGATCATCATCATTTTCATTTCGACATTATTTTAATAATTCTTATTTAGCAAAGTGGTAATAATAATCAACTTAAGACTTAGGTAATAGGTAGCTTCTTATAGGTAACCATTTATTTGTATATATATATACAAAAGTACATTACTATATTAATTTTAAGAAATTATTAGATTATTAAAAAAAAAAGTATTATTATTAATTTCTCTAATATTAATAAAATAAGATATTTTTAATGGATTTGCATTTTATATACAATCGAAACAATTTTTATGATATTAGTTCCTTTGAGCACATACAATAAAATTCCAAATCGACTCTCATTTTCACACAATTTTTATTTCCTCAGTAAAAATTTCATTACAAAATACTATAAAGCAAACTATATTTTGTTAAACTTTTCAAATAATTGCTGATTTCAAATTTTAATATGTTGCAAAGAGCTTATTATGGATTATTTACCACTAGTATTCAACATCAATACATCATAGTATATGTTTTCACAAAAACTGAGATCTAAATGGTCAGAAAAAGATGGTTAATACTTTATTTTTTTTTTATACTGCAAGTACATATTATATCATAAATACTGTAATTAGTGTAATGACTAGTATTATATTATAAATTAGCTTAGTTAAACTACTAGTAACGAAAGTAACATTAAATAAATATATAATGCATATAATTATGGTATTGAACATTATATGATTTAGTAAATCGTTCAATATTGTTCAATATTTATCTGTGTATCGTACAACACTGCAGCTGTTTGTAATTGTAATTACGGAAATATAAAGTTTAATATTACCGCAATTTTTTTATATATAAACCATCTATTTATTATTAATCACCTGTCGTTAACATATCTTGATCAAATCCTTTGTCAAACTCGCCACCATAAAATTTCACATCCAATTCATCCAACAATTCAATAGTCATACCATCCTCAATGCAACTCAACATAACAACCAACATAGTGATTATAATCATTCCGATTAGCAGCAGCAGCAACAATACAGAGTATCAAATATTAATACATTTTGTCATAGTCTCCAATTTTTCTATATTTACCTTAATTCCTAATCTTAAAATAGTTCATTAATTCTGGTATTTTATTTTGTTACTGTTATTTTACACATAATTTTTAGCGTTACAATTCAAATAGGGATTTTAACTGGCTAGTAGTAAATGATGATTTTCTTTGAGTTTCCTAAAAAATAAAAAAATAGAATTAGAATATAAATTATGCATTAGAAACCAAAACTATTTTAAAAATAAAACCTTTACTGAAATAGACATGACTTTATGAAAGTGCTCTGTTGACTTATCAATTTCTTCATATAATTTGGTTATTTCGGATTGATGAATAGAATCTATAAAATCAACATTAACAAAAAAAAACACCCTAATTAAATACATTTTTTGACATACGTATTCGTTCCATATCCTCCATGAAATCCTTTCTTGTACGCAAATTTTGAGAATGATTTTTTTCCAAATTTTCGAGCAATGTAGATGCCGTCATCTACTTAGTAAATTAAAAAAAAATATTAAACGTTTTTAATACATTTAATTATTGATTTTAAACTCACTTGATATTTATCCAATCCAAGTTGGAGTTTTCTTAACCAATTAAGTCTTTCATCTGTGTGTTCATCCATTCTATTCTTATATTCATAAGCGATTTTATTTCTAGATGTTTAAATAAACAATTAAAAGTAAGACACTTAAATTTTACACTATATAAAATCCTATTTACTAACATGATATTAACTTCCTTCTCTAGATAAACGGAAAGTATTTCGGTATTGATTGCTATACTTGATTCAAATAGTTTATCAATTGATTTAGATATTTGAATTTCACGTTTTTTTAGAGTTGCTACGAATTAAGTTTTTATTTTAGAGATTTTAGATAAAATTAAGTATAAAACAGTTTACCAAAAAAAATACCTGCAAGAGTTGACATGATCTCACTATGATTTAATTTTCTGAATTGAGAATAAAGGTCAATTTAAAAGATTATACAAGTGCAACTATATAATATGACCTTTTGAAATTATTATCTTGTTCAAGAGAGACAGAACTATGTTTCTCAGGCTCAGGTTTTGTGGGCGTATTATGTTTTTCGAGACTTTTTAACCGGATATGTGAAACTAAAATAAATGAAAATTAAACTAATAATTGTTCATTAAGTTATTAAAATAATAAAATTTCATATACAGTTTTTAGAAGCTATAGATTGTTGTGACTTTGTCTTTCCAATTCGCGTCTTTTCTGTCATCTTTGAAAGAATGTCTTTTACATTTTGGCTTAGTTTTCCACTAGAGTTGTGTTGTGTAGCAAAATCCTTTGCCAAACGTGACGCAACTTTCATGATTGTAAAGGAATTATTTTATTTTATTTTGTTTTTAAAGAAAATAAAGGAAAATATTTAAATGACTTAAATGACAGAAATTAAACTCCCTGATCTACACCGATCAAATAATACAGATAATGAAAATGATGAGTAAGCTATGTATATTCTAACGAATAGTGTTCGAGAAACCTAAAAACCATAATAATGCGTATAATGCGTCAAAAATTATCGAGTTGGATTTGTTATTGATATGCCTCTATAATGATCACAAGACATAATGGTTCAATGGTGTTCATAGTTTTTTATATTAAACATATATAGTAAGTTAAGAATGATACCATCTGAATATTTTTTTCTTGTAATCCGTTAAATATTCCACAACATAATTTAAAATGATTAGTTTATTATAGTATAAATTTAGTTAATTTAATTATTTTGTAATCCTGTTTCGCCAATCTGATTTGATTCGGATTTCCCACGATTTAACCGGTTTTAAAATTAGAGATACGCAAACTTATAAAGAATTAAGAATTTTTAGCTATAGTGTTAATATTTCATATATGGATTAACGACGCGATTTTTTTTTTCCTATCATAACATTTCAAGAGATACTTTATAATAAATAAACCACGTGCGAAACTTTTAATTTTCTGCAATATAGCACGTTGAATTATTACGATTTACGAAGAAAAAAAACAAAATTTGTTTGCGGTCTATCATAATTTCATTTCCGCCCTTTCCGCGGAATTATATTATATGAATACCTACAATATATTTGAAGCGCGTTAAATAATTATTGTTATTATTATTGTTATATATCAAATATATTTAATATTTTGCTTACGTCACTAGTCTTTAATTAATAATGTTATTCAAAAAAAAAAAAAAAATTCTTTTTCGGGTTCAACCGAAAAAAAAACCTACCAAATAAATATTTCTGAATCATATAAAATTGTTCTATAATCGCGCGAACAATATTTTAAATAAAAAAAATTTTTTACCCGTCTTGTTTATACAATATTTTTCTATTGGGTGTAATATGTCCCTTTAAATTTTCCGATAGTCAAACATATAAAAAGATCGATTTTTTCCTTTCCTTTGAACCACATACTTTAATATCGTTATCCAAAAATTATTGTGAAAAAACAAAGTTTTTATTTACAAATTATCTTTCGTAAAAATCTTTTTTTTCTCTTTTATTTCTCTACGGAATTTATTATTTTTTTTCCTTTGATCATTCAAAAAGAATATTTTTATTTACTCAACCTTTTTTTTTTGATTTTTTTTTTTTTTTTTTTTTTTTTTTTTTTGGAGAAAAATTTATATTTTTTTTTTTATGTACGATTTATTTTCTTTTACTTTGCCATTTTTTTTCAACCTTTTTTTTTCACTTATTGTTTATTTGTTTATTACAATTTGATAAACTATTTTTTTATTAGTTTAAATAGGCTTTTTTACATTTCTTAAATTTCCTATTATAATGGTTAAACGTGCCAAACAACAAGTTACCGAACCTACTACTGATACCAGACGTTCTGATCGAATTAAGGGACGCACTGTTACTGATCAAGCTTCATCAACTAATGCTACTGCGGCTGCTTCGGTCAAATCAACTACTTCATCCCGTCCTATTCGTCAAGCCAGTCGGAAAAAATCTCCTCAAAAGACTGCTACCTCTAAGTCAGACCGTCCTAGACGTAACGTTACAACTGCAAGAAGTACTCCTGCTGCTTCTAATACTCCGCATAAAAGGAAACGTAAAAGTACTTCGGTGGTTAATCCTGCTAATCAACCGGCAGGTGGTACTAATATTGAACGACGAACTTCTAAAAAGGTTAAGTTTGTTCTAATAGATCCAACTACATCAGAGAGTTCTACTTCTTCAAGAAACGCCGATTTAAATCAGCCTTATACTGCCACTGTTCAAGAATCTCAAGTAGCTTCTTCGGTCGTCATTCAAGAAACAACTATACCTCAAGTTACTACTACTATTATTCCTGCCATGAAATCATCTAAAAAACGTTTGACCGCTGCCGAAGATTCAGAGTTGTTAACTGGCAGTACTTCTTCAAGAAGATCGAGAAAACGTGCTGTAGAGGAAGATTATAAATTATTGAAACCTAAACGTAGAAAAGGCGACACTTTTACTGTACCGATTCCTACTCGTTCACAACAAATTGGTCAAGTTTACGTTATTGGTTCAAATGAATTTTCTCAATGTGGTATGGAAGGGATAGAAAATTCAAAAAAATTAGAATATATTAAAACTTTGGAGGAATTTAAAATTGTCGATGTAAGTGCAGGATCTCTTCATAACGCTGCTCTTACTGTTGATGGTAAAATTGTAACATGGGGGATTAATGATCATGGTAAGTTTAATCAACTAAACGTTACACCTTTGTCATACTTTAATTATATAATTTATTTAATTATTAATTAAACTTAGGTACACTTGGTCGTTTCACTGAAACTCCTAGGTCAGCAGAGGCGAAAGCAATTTTAGAAGCGGGAAATTATAATATAATTGATGAAGGAAAACCCGCATATGCTGAAGGTCTTGATAATGTAAGCATTGTAAAAGTAGTATGTGGAGGTAACGCTACATTTGCTATCTCCGATCAAGGGCATCTATATGCGACGGGTACTTTCAAGGTTTGCAAAATTTTCATCATCCATCATCATCATCATCATCATATTTTTACATATTTAGTTAGAAAACAAAAAAAATTTTTTTCCTAAAAACTAGGGCAAAGACGGAATTATTGGATTTTCTTATGATAAACGTATAGAACAACCAATATTCACACGATATTCCTCATTCGAAAATTTAACAATTGTTGATATAGCAGTAGGTGTTGATCATGCTTTGGCGCTTACTACAGAAGGAGATGTATATGCATGGGGAAGTAACGAAGCCTACCGTCTTGGGAAAAAACTTTCAGAACGCAGATCGCTCAAACCGCTAGTACCATTCAACCTAGGATTAAAACATATCGTCCGATTGTACGCTGGTTCATATCATAACTTTGCAATTGATGATAATGATAAAGTATGGGTCTTTGGCTTTAACAATATGGGACAGTGTGGTCTTGATACATCAAAACAAGCTATTATCCCTCCTGAAAGGCATTCGTTCCTTAACAAAATCGGGATAAAAGTAGAAGAGTTCGCCGCTGGTGAACATCATACGCTTGCTCGTATGCAAAATGGACAAGTTTACAGTTTTGGACGATCTGATTATGGCCAACTTGGTTTAGGAAATAGCGTTCTCCCGACTAAGGGATCTAAAGCAAGAATATCAACTCCGACTGTCATTCCAAGCCTATCTTCAATAAAATCCATAGGAACTGGAGATCATTTTTCAATGGCCGTCGATGCGGTCAATAAGATTTATGCATGGGGATTTGGGGAATATTTCGTCTTAGGAAATAGGAAAGAAGAGGAAGTGACATCGCCATTTCGGATGCCGGATTTAAACGAATTGGAAGGCAAGGATATTGTTCGGATAAGTTGCGGATCAGCGCACGTATTGTTCCTTATTGTAGCAACAGATGGAGAAGCCATGGATGTAGATACTAATAATTAAAAGTAACAATTAAAAACTATCATTTCATTTCTTTAAAAAAAACAAATAGGATATTGGTGAGTTTAATTTGCTGTTAGTATGATATTAGAAATAACGTTGATTAATAATTTTTTTAATAATTATAAAATAAAGTATTTATTTTTATACTTTTTCTTTGTACATAATTAATTAATTAATATGGTTATTAGTAATAATAGTATGCAACTTTTACAATCAAAATCTTAGCATTGATACACACACAATACATAAAATTCGAAATTATGATATAATAAAAAGTCATTTCAATTCGCAAATGCAAAAGCTCATACAGAATTTAGGAAGGTCATATGAATTATTATCTATTTATCCTATTTCTTTTGTTCTTACTATTCTTATTTTTCCTCTTTAACATCTCTATTAAAAAATTCGAATAATTTATTTCCATTATCATTACCAACCATGTTTTGTAATTCATTTTTAGACAACTGGCTTAATTCCTTTAAATTTTCCACTTTTGACATTATATATTTATAATTTTTCGATGTAACTCCAGGTAATGATCTTAAAAATTCCTATTAAATAAGAATAGCAAAGATAAAAGGTATGTAAGATATTAAGATGTCATAATTATATTAAATGGTATTATCTCTTAGTATATGTACCTGTGGAATTAAGTTATAGTCACTTTCAATCGCATTGTTGGTAATTAAACTATCATCAATTTCACCATCATCTAATCCAATCATTTGAGCTGTTTCTAAATCGGGCTCTTCTTCTAATTTCTACAAAAAAAAAAAAAAAAAATATTCAAGGATTCATATTGATTGTTAATTACTCTTAAAGGTCTTCCCAAAGGAATAGCCATGATCTAATAAATAATCATAAATACAGAACATCANAAAAAAAAAAAAAAAAAATAGTAAATAAAATATGTTTCACAATATATTAAAAAGCATATTAATTATATTTACTTTAAGATCTTGAAATATTTCGACGGTAGCAATAGGGTTACTTGACCAAATAATTTTAAGTCTTGGAAATGTTATTGTTAATAACACTAATTTTGACGATATATCATTCATACCTATGTCCGGTCTAAATTCATTTATAGACTATACATGCGTGTACAACGCAATAAGAAGATAAGCAATAAAAAAATAAAAACAAACGTATGACAGAGATTAAAAATGATTCAATTACCTGTAATGTAAACGATTGATTTCTATCAAATTCAATTAACAAGATAGGCTGTTTATAATGTATAGACATAGCTTCACACTGTGTATACCTAAACAAATAGTCAATTTACCGCTCACATATTTTTGAAAGAGAACATATAAATACTTACAATCTTCCTGAATTAAAGCTTCCAATTAAATCAGAAATAGATTTACGTTCAACACATAAATTAGGTGATAATATATAATCACCTATCGTTAATGTACATGGCAATATTTCGATTCCTGATTGATGTAATAATGATGGTAATGAACTACGAAATTCTCTTACATCTATTATAATCTAATTGTGTTCGCAATATTCAAGAAAAATGTAAAAGATTAAAAAAGCTGATTAATAATAATCCAAAATATAAATTAATATCTATCATTTACCTTTGGTTCTTTAATTTGTTGTGTAATTCTACCACCTGCTATACGTGTATTAATATTCAAGGATTCATATTGATTGTTAATTACTCTTAAAGGTCTTCCCAAAGGAATAGCCATGATCTAATAAATAATCATAAATACAGAACATCAATCATTCATCATCTAATCCTTGACAAAAAGGAATAGTAAACCCGAAATATATCATATATTTACACTTTTTTCTCTAATTAATTTTTCAAAAGCATCTTTTTCTTTACGTATCACACTTAAATATTTTTGCTCTTCGATAGAATTTTCATACATCATAAAAAACACTTTACATGGTAAATCAGGATAGAAAGTTCGATATACCTATTATTCAAAAAATAATAATCTTAACCTTGAATATTAAATAAAATAAAATCTATTATTAACTTCTCGACTAAAAGAAACTTACTTCAACTCTTCTAACAAAAGCTTGGTCAGGATGATAAATAATAATATATTTGGGTTTAATAGACTGTAATACTCTATCATCTTCTTCACCACTAATAGGTCTAATAATAATTAAATCTCTCAAGTCCAACAATCCAAAATAAGTAGAAAACGCTTCCACATCAAATTCATCGTCATAACAAGAAGTTGATGAACTATTATTTAATGAAGTGTTTGTAGAAAAAGTAACTGCTGTTGATACTTCAGGTAATATAGTTTGATTCGAATTTATACTACAAATGAAGTAAGAAAAGAATAAGAACTTTTTTTTAAAAAAAAAAATAAAAATGTAATTTCAATAATCACAAATTCGCTATTTCTTGAGCTTCTTCCTCAAGGAGCTTAGCCTTAGATTTCCTCGTAGGGACAACAGAAGCGGCAGTATTTGATCCACCACGTATGCGTCTTCTCTTATTAGGCGGTTGTTGCCCACGTTGAAACGTTCCTCTTTTTGGTGGTTCATCTTTTTTTTTAAAAAAATAAAATTTGGTTATGCTACTCACTTTTCTTAAAGGGATTTAATTAAATTTAAAACATACCTCTCTCACTATTACTATTTACTTCCTTACTTCTTTCTTTACCATTTTCGTTAAACAAATTTTTACTCACTTTACTCATTCCACTTTTCCATTTAAAATAATTTTTTAGTAATCTCCCTAACATAATACTACCTTTATCCAATCCTTGTCTTTCAGCAATATGCATAGTTGATAAATACTCCCTTAGTTGTGAACATTCCCTTTCATTTTCCATCATTATCAATATAGTATTGTTTAAATGACTTAAATCTTCTCCTTCGGAAGAAGTTCTTGAAGTTTCAGTAGCGTGACTTGTTATATCTGATTCGATCTCTTGTAATATTTCTGCCAATAAATTCCATTTTGGAAGTTCTTCTAATACAGGTTGTATACCCGGAGGTAATTTTGATGTCGGGTAAGAATTTTTTTGAGTATTATCTGTAGGAATTGTAGTCGATGTACGAACGAATACACGTCTTTTCGCTACCTAAATAAAGTAAACCCGATAAATTTGTATAAACAGTCAAACATAAACTTTGTAAAAATATATCTATGAATCTAATTACACTAAAAATCGTATTTCCAGCATCCAAAGATAACCAAGGAGATTGTTGTTGTTGTGATAAAGCAGAAGTAGGAGTTTGACTTGTAATAATGGTTTCTAAAAAACTATTAAATGATACGCAATCATAACTAACCAAATACCTATAATATTAAAAGTTGATCCAGTTAAATTCAAACCAAAAAAGAAATTAACGAAAAAATTTAATCAAATACATACTCAAGTAACTTTCTTAGAGTAGTTAAATCATTAACTATCAACTTAGTTTTTGAGCTGACACGATGCCAGACAGGTTCTAGTTGTTGTTTTATTAATACATCGAATGATCTAAAAAATGAATTTTCTACTGATAAATCATCAACGTTTAACTAAAATTTAAAATAAACCATAATAAGAATTAATCACAAGCTTTCGGTTAAAATAAAATACTGAAAATTTTATAACTTACCCAATTTCCATTCCCCTTTTTTATTTCACTTAAGCAAGCTTCAATACATTCGGTAATAGCCTGTTGAATTTCGTCCATTGATGGGCTTAAAGGTTGATACAATTCTGTTACATCCGCTTTACGCTGTTCTAAGCAATCCCTTATCATCACATGAAATCTGTTGAAGAGAGTGATACAAGTAAGTAAATTGAATTAAAATTTAAAATATCATGTAAATATTACAGATTTATCGAACAGGTAAATATAAATTGTTGAACATAAATATAAGACAAACCTCGGATATAAAAAAACTTTACGTAATTGAAGTAATTGAAGAGCAGTTTGCAAAGGTGATAATCCTGATGAAATAAATGACTCAGGAGAATCTGAAAATGCTTTAATAAACCCTTCCTACAAAAAATACAGGGAGCATAACGATATTAAAAAAACAAATTATATATTGGAGTAATAAGAAAAGAATGAAATGCATGAAGGCACCTTATTCTCTTCTTTAAATATTCTCAAGATGAATGCTTCTGTTGAAGTTTCATTCACCCTAAAGCAAAACAAGTACATATGTTATCAACCTGATGTTAAATTTATACACAAACAAAAAAACTTGTCCAACAAAGACATAACCAAAAAGGTACCTTTCAGCGTGCATAACTAAAATTCCAGTAATTAGATAAGTTGGTATACGTTTTTGTAAAAGATCAATTATAAGTATTCTTGAAGTTATAGATAATATACCACCAGAAACGTATAATTCTGATCTATAAATAAATTAAATAAATACTTTTTAAATTATGATTCTTTGTTCATTAAATCATTTTATTTTCTCTCTTTTTTTTTCCTTGATACAATAATATATTTAAATTTGCGTTCCATTAAATCTATCCTTATTTCCGATTTTCTTCTCTTCATAGCTTTTACTTATTAAAATTTTTAATTTTACTAGCCATTCATTTTTAATCTTAATAAATTTACCCCTTCTCAATTCTCTTATCGTGAATTTACCTTTCTTTAGAATTAGTTTCATTATTAACAACGCGAAGTCCGGGTTTCTTGACACCACATTCAGCAAGTTCCTCTTTAATAAAGTTTAACTCGTGTCCATTAGCATTCAGTAATATTACTAAAGATTCTTTATCAGAATAAATTTTTAGTAGTGCACATATTATTCTACGCAAGCCCAAACCACGGCTTAATATAAGTAAACCATCTTCAGATAACAATTCTTCGAAAATGTGACGATGGAATTCTAGTGGAAGTGTGCAAGGATATGAAAGTTGAGTTGAGGAAAGCGAAGGTAAGGTTATATGAGAGCATACTTGAGAACGAGAGGAAGAATGAGATTCGGGAGGTGATCCTACTGGAGAAAAGTCTGTTTCAGCTGGAAGTATTTGTGAAGACATTGTAATGACTAATTTTTTTGTCGATCATTTTCCGTAAATTTGAAGCCACGTGCAAGTTTGTTACATTTATTTAAACAGAAGAACAAAAATAGTTCCCCAATCCGAAAATAATAATAGGAAGCTACTAGAAAAGAATGCAAAGGAAAATAATGACTAGTGGACGGTTGACAAATTAATATGCACTTGAAACAGATAAAACTCATAAAAGTACAATTATTCATTTAAATAAAAATCAATTCTACATTGCATTACGAATATTGGATTCATTTAATGCTTGCGCTTTTTCTCTCCAATCAGTGGTGAAACGAAATACGTTTAAAAATTATAATCAGGAACGTAATAAACAACAAATTCATCAATTGAGAACCGAATTAGTACACCACGCTCAGCACATAAAGCAGAAATAAGAGAAGCAAATTAAAGGAGGCACAAAGAGCAAGAAAAGTAAATTTAAGGCTCAGCCACTTCTTAGTGGTTCACCTGATGTAAGTTACTTGACAAAATATATTTACGGTAAAAAAAAATTTTCATTCGTATTATATAATTATTTTTATTATAAGTTTTGCCTCCTATTCTTCCGTTACCTACTACTGTGACTAAACTATTTAAACTAAGGAATGACATTAGAAATATCAACAGTCTTTACGAAGGAAGATTTACCATTTCGTGCAAGACCAGCACCTAATGTGTTACCTTATCGTCCAAAAAAAATCAGATAAACCTATAACGAAAGCTGTTGAATTCAATCTTCATACTGATGCACGTCTTGAAAAACGTAAGTTATACGATTAACAGAGAAAGTTACTTGAACAAGAAGAAAAGATACTAAAAGAACGAAGAGGAGGTACGTAAGTAAAATCGGTTTTCTGTTTGCAAATTCTATTTTGACGGGCGCAAACCTTTTGACTGTGTGAAATTTTTTCTCCCGGAAGTGAATATTTGGAGGGATCCATTTTTCGATGCGCTACAATAGGCTTCTTGACGCGCACAGATTTGATATCACTTGAATCAACCGGTTTGATTGCACCTTATCATTATTAATTTCATTTTCCTTGTTCGTCATCCTAACGTAATTCGATGTAGACTATAAAATTTAAATTTTTTAGTTTAGTTAAATTTAATGTAATTATAAATATCAGAAATGACATGTTCTCTTACTCTCATTGTCACAAGCTTTGATTTGAATCTGTCTGGAGCTTTTTTCAAAAATTGTTGTACACGCTCTGCCAATGAAATATTTATTTATCTCATTAGAACGCTTCCTCGCGTGAAATCTGAAAGGTTTAGGAATTGTCAAAACTGTGACAGGTTTTTTGATAGGTTGCCGTTCCTTAAAATATAAATAACAAAGGTATTGACTATTGAATAAGAATATGATTAGATTTATACGAATATTCATACCCGAATCCCTCCTTATAATGTAGTGCAAAAAAAGAAAATGAGCCTTGCGAGTTCGGCGTTTCAATTTCTCTGTTTTCGAATATTAATTATTTTATTTTGAATTGAAATATGGAAAGTAGGTTGAAATAGTAAAAATTGTGTTTAAATAAGAAAAATATCCAAATATGTAACACGGTATACGTCATAATCAGTATAGTTTATTATGTTTATTACGGACGCGACAAGACGCGATTATTATCGCGATTCGCGAAATATACGTCACATGTTTTATTTGTAGCTTATCTCAAATCTGTGACAGTTTAGTGTCGATCTTGCTATAATAGGAGGTCGTCTAAAGCGGGGCAAATCACGTGATTCGGTGTAATTTTAATTAGATTAATTTTTTATAAAGAAAGATTAATAGAAACTTTAAAATCATAATATAAGCGTATTTTTATCTGCTTTGCAAGTTTACTTAAGGAAAAAAAGTGGATTATGAATATTGTTTTTTACTTTACATATGAATGAACGAAACTTTGCCGATCATATCCAAAAATGGATAACGAAATTGAAAAAGTCAAATAAATCAAAAACAGCATTCAAAACCCTACTCTGCGCTCTAAGTAGACTTGCAGAGCAGGCAAAAATGCATTTAGGATGTGTGTTTAGAATGGTTGAATATATGGTAAAAAGTTTTATTTTATGAAAACAATTTTTTTCAAAGTCACGTGATTTGCCCCTGCTTTAGACGACCTCTATAATTCTATAATAGGAAGGAGTAATGTTTACGCGTCACTGATCACGTGCAGCCACGAGTTCAAAAACACTAAGTATCTGAGGGGCAAATGTATCGTTCTTATATGTGTACGACATACTATCTTATACGACATATATTATGTGACATATACGTCGTATAAGAACATAGCACCTAGCACAGCATAGCGGACATGCTTTTATCACCTTGCCGATTGTCGATCATATATATATATCATATCACTTCTACTTTGAAGCATCGGGTAAAGCCATAAATGCTCGGGCAAATTATACTAATTGTTTTTTTGTCAGTTTAATTTATGAAAAATATACTATAAAAGTATTATGGCAAAAAAAAAATGTATTGTCAAAGTTAGCCTTGAACCAAAATTTCCAATAATTTGATAATTGCCGATCATTTGCCGATCATCTGCTAATCTGATTTTGAAGCTTCGGGCGAAGCCACAGATTTACGGGCGAAACTTGAAATTTTTAAAATATATTATTTAGGTATTCAAGAATCAATGGTTAAAATAAACCAGCAGAATTTTAGATAAACCAAAAGTTATCATTAAAAGAATGTTTATGAATATTATTAAAATATATATTAGGAATATTAGGAAAAAATTTTGGCAAAATTTTATGAACTGTTTAAAGAATTATTTTTTGTTTTATTTATTTAAACAACAAATTTGATCATTAAAAATTATATTGTTCATTTTTTTATAAATAGTCTTTAAAATTTTGTGAAGAAATACTCATTTTATTAGAATTTAAAAAGTTAGTACTAGTAAAAGTTGCCCAATAATGATGCAATCTTGATAAAATTTAATATGCAGTAAATCTAAATGAATATTAAGCTGTCTGTAGAATTTGAGTATATATTATTATGTAGAATTTTCAATCAATTTAATTATAGCGAAGAGATAAAATTGAATAAATGATTGACAAATGATCATCAAAATTGTGATAAAATAGGGATGTCCGCTATGCTACCTAGCACCTGATCGTAGAATTTTTTTAGTGCCAAAAATTTATTTATCACCGTTATTTGTCACCGTGATCGACACTAACCTGTCACAGATTTTAGATGTGCTTGCAGTGGCGGACTTTAATATACCATATTAGCTACCGTTAACCGCACTAATTTATTGATTAATAATCCAATATTATCAATATCTGATATCATCAAAAGAGAATATTTTGATAAACATATAATTGGTACAGTCTATAATTGGTACAGTCTTTGTAAGATATACCTTATACTTTAATATGCGACATTTGAATTACAGTTGCACTTGCTAAAAAACAAATTTAAGCCCTAAAAAGTGTTTTTAACATTTATCATTTAAGAAAGATTTGCCAAAATTTAGATAATCAATTTGTTTAAGGCCAAATACCGTGGGAATTTAGATTTTTTTTTTGCTCATGCCAAGTGCCAAGAACTGCCTATTGTTCGGACTTTTTATGATATAGCTCTTTGAAATGTCCCAGCAAACACTTCTTTCGGTTAAAGTTTACGGAAGTACATTGTTATGTAATATATTTAAGGAAATAAATGATGTTCATTGCCCAAACTGTTGTATAACATTATTGTTTTGGGAAAATATTACTTTGATTGTAAAACGAAAGAAGTTTCGGTTGAAAGATTATGTATAGTAGGTTGTCACTTGCCTAGATTGAAAAGCAGAGACATGAGAAGATTCGATCATCAAGCCACTTATGATTAACTTTTTCAAGCTCAAGTGTGACATTCCACATATTCAAGCTTAATGAAAATCCAAATAAATAATGATTTTAATTGCGGATTGAAATTAAACTTAAAAAACTGAAAATTTTTTAGCTTATCTTATTAGGCAAATCGAAAAATTCGCTACTTTAGATATTCGAAAACTTTTTAAAATATAAATATTCACCACTCTCAATCTTTTTTTGCGAAATAAATTTTATACTCTCTTTTTTTCTTTTGCTATCCTTTCCCTTCAATTATTACGGTATTATTATATTATTATTTTTTTTTTTTTTGTATTAATATGAAGTTATTAAGTGTGAAGATTTCATTTATTTTCGATAAAGTTTCGTTATAGATATAATATAATATATAAAAATTTTTTTTTTAATACTTCAAAGGTAACTTAGGTTACTTATCTTCATTGCTATATAGACTGTGATAGTATAATAGACTATTTCATATACTATATTTTCCAAATAGCTATCCTTTTTTTCTTCTTTAGAACTATTGCTTCTAACGAAAGTTTTTTATTAAAAAGGAACCTTTTTAAAAATTTATTTTTTATTGAAAAAGAAAACAAAATGCGTAAAGCGTTTGCATTTTTAACTTCTTCATTATCAAGTATTAATAAATATTCAAAAGAAGCGAAAACCTCTACACAAACTACTTCACCTAACATACAAAAAGAAAATAATAAATCACAAATAATTACATCAAACATTAAAGATGACAAAAATGAAAATCTTATAAAAAAAAATAATAATGATGTCAATCCCTTAAACAAAAGAAAAAAAAATATTTCTAATGATTTAAAAAAACCTACTTTAAAAAAATCACCACAAGAAATAAAAAAATTAGAATCCACAAGGAAAACGTCAAGTAGAACTGACTCTTCAACTATCGTAACTACGTTAAAACACTCATCATCAAATCGTCGGAAAAAATTATCTGTAATAAAAAAAAGCGATGATGGTGATGGTGAAAGTGAGAATGCGAGTGATAGTAATATTGATAACGAAGAGGAAGATAATGACGACGACAATGTTCCATTGGGATTACGTTTTCACCATTCTCGATCTATAAGCTCCAATTATCCACCTCCTAAAAACCAAGAATATTATGATAATGATACTCAAATTAGAAATGTTTCAGGTATGTCATTACACCGCAACCGCTCAACGACAAAGGATCCAAATAAGGAGAAATATCACTATCACTCTCCTAGAAATTTAACTTCTCCAATGCCAACAACTCCACCTTTAATACATACTTCACGCGAATTATATCAACCTAGACCTCGTCATTTTAGAGAGCGAAAATTTTCATCTTCGGCTTCATCATCGTCATCGGCGAGCGTTGATAGTAATGGCAGCAGATATTATAGAAAATATAATGCGAATATTACACCTAATAATAGTCAAAGATATAAGAGATATTCAGCTTATTCGTTACCTTATCGGAATGAATATGAATATGATGATTACAATATTTATGAATATTATTATGATGAAATGAATGATGGTTATGGCGAAAATCGAATGATAAATATCCCAAATGATGATCTTTCAAATACCCCGCCAATTGAAAAAATGCGCCGAGTAAGTTTAAATTCTTCATCTCCTCGTCCAAGAAATGATTCTTTCTCAAGAATGTACTCCGGATTGACAACAACAAGAAGATCAAATGATTCTAGCACACTAGTTGCAGGTGCTAATCCTCCCCCTCCTAACAAATATCAAAAAGAAGCTACCAAAAGAATGTCAACGAGTGAATATCACAAGTATCAACAAGAAATGGTTGTTGCTCAATATTTAAAACATGGAATCAGTCCTATTATTGATGATTCTACTCCTGTTCATTCTGAACCCCTTAGTAATAATCCTCGGGGTCCTACTTTAATTCAAGTTCAATCAATGATGATGAATATATCTTCATCTAGACCTAAATGTTTAAGTGTAATTGATAGAGGTTATTCAGGTAGTAATTATTCAAGTTCGGGTAGTTATACCTCACCAGCTGAACTTGCAAGAAAAAACTCTTGTACAAAGACTGTAAGTGATTGTGGTATTGGTGCCTGTAATGGAGGTGTTAACAGTCATCGAAGAACTCATTCTGAATCTAATGTGCAAATAAGTTCCAAATTTTCCACTAGACAACAACAACATCATTATCATAACACTCCACTTTATTTGCAACACCAATCTCATCATTCTTCAATTTCAAGTTCTTCTTCAAGCTCAACTTACGTTTCAAGTAGTGGTAGTGGTGGTCCACCTACGCCCACAAGTAGAAGATCTAGCATAATGTTTAATTCTAATGTTTATGGTAGTAGGCCAAGTACTCCTTCTTCCGTTGGTAGTGGCTATATTTTTGAAAAAGAAAAAAGAAGAAAAAGTGTTTTAAGAGAATAATAAAATTAATACTAGAAAGAGAATTATTATAAAAGGAAACATTTTGAGAATTGCATGAACAAAGATTCATGTTAGTTATTTTAGTAAGAATGTTCTTTTACTGTATTTGTAATGAACATTGGATTTTTATTTATACTACTTACTTTCCCTTGTACTATTTAAAATTTTTTTATCCTTGTAAATTAAAAAACCTATTTTGTATAAATAGTGTCATTATTAGTCTCAGTTCAAACAGATTGAAATAAAAATTTTAAATTTGTCAACTAACCATGTCATCAAAAGGAATAAAGAAAACCAAATTGTATATCACTTTTCTTTTGGTCGAGAAAAAATGAATAAAAATACGAGATACAATTATGATGTATATGGTATATATGTATTAAGCTGAACGTTAATGGATTCTATTTACGTTCTAAGTAATTATGAATAGAAAAACGTTGGGTAGTAAAGAATGTATGAAATATCTAATTATAGCCAATAATTATTATAGAAGTCAAAATGTAATAAATCACTTTGTCGAGAAATCTTTAAAAGATCGATCATAAATGATTCAATTTAGATAAGAATCCAAATATACCAAATGTACTAATACATATTAGTTGCATCTATTAATATAATGCATATCCGTTATACAATATATTTTGTCGATTCTAATTAAAGAAATAAAACCACAATAGAATTCTCAAATTCTTTAAATTGCGTATTCATTTGTAATTCATTAATCTGGTTTAAAACTAGTTGAATTGACTTTATACTAAACCTGGAGTTCTATTTTCACCATGGTTTTATCATTGCACGTGATTAAGTTACTTAAACAGGAGATAAATTCAATAATATTTGAGTGACAATAAACCTAGCTCCTCTGTTTCCTCTTATCTCATTTTCCTCTCTCTCTTTCTCTAAAAATAAAAGCAACCTTCTTCATCACGCTTTCTTTACTCTCAATTTTGCAGAATTTGTAACTAAAATCTTTAAAAATGTACGTAAAGTAGTTTTTATTTTTTTGAATCTCTTTTAGTTAAGAATTTACAGCTTTTGAGACTTTTTGTAGAATAATTTCTTGCATTTTGCTAAATTCGTTTATGGAAGAGTAGTGGTTATAGTTTAAAAGCAAATCTCTTCACTGCTTTTTATTTCTATACTCTTTATATTTAGAGTATTACTAGCAAATATTATGTGCCCACCGTATTATTATATTATTATCCTTTCTAATAATTTTCAATACTAAACTTTTTTTTGTATTCAATCAATATAGGTCTAACCAATACGACCCTTATGTTCCAAGAGAAGAAGGTACCGCTGGCGGACCACCTCTAAAAACACAACAAATTCAAAAACAAATTAATGATACAGTTGGTATTATGCGTGAGAATATCAACCAGGTTGCCCAGAGAGGCGAAGCTTTAGATTCCCTGCATGATAAGACCGGTAAGTTGTTCATAGATTATATTATAACTAATAATTTCGAATGTATTATTGACATTTTTTCTTCTTTTATTAAATAGAAAACTTGTCCGTATCGGCACAAGGCTTTCGCCGTGGTGCTAACCGCGTACGTAAACAAATGTGGTGGAAGGATATGAAAATGAAAATTATTATTGCCGCTGTAATAATCATTATATTAGTGGCGATAATTTGTGAGTAATGTTTTTTTTTAGAGATGACAAATATTTTACATCTTTTTATTTATTTTTTTTTTAATTTATCTCTTTTATAGTATCGGTTTACTACGGAAATAAGAAAAATTAAAAATCTTATGCTTTTTTGCGATACCTTCCTTTCCTTTTCTGATAATTTTATTATTTTATTTTTCTTTTGTTAGTACCTTTCTTTTTTAACAAATTATTTACTATTCTATAATTATCCTCTGCATTCTTTAATTATAAAAAAATATATATATATATATGCAATGCTCTCTTTTTCCATTAATATTATTTATGATAAACTTTTGATATTAATGTTGTGTTTATAAAGGCAGAGAACTTTTAACTATACCAATTAGCTGTATTTATCGACATGTTTTTCTTATTTTGCTTTTATATCTTAACTTTTTCGATAAAGCTGAAAAAAATTTTTTAATTTTTAGTGTATATTAATAGGACAAATAAACAAATAATCAGTTAAAGATTATTATTTAAATGGTTTATTTTTTTGACACGGCCTTTGTGGAGCTATTTGCTACAAACAAAATCTACAATATAATAAAATTAAAGCAGCAATACGAAATTTGACCTAATATTAATTTGTAATTTTGATAGTGTACGTTTTATTTGCAATTACTGTAAGTGACACTGATATATTTACAAATTATTTGAAATCTACCAACTTTTAATATGAAAATTAGTGAAATAAAGAAAACAATGATGACTATTATTTAACGATCTTTAACGAAAAAAGGATTGGCGTTAATGCTTTTATCAAAATATTGTTGAGTAGGTAAACTCCGAGGTTGGTAAGAAGGAATAATTTGTTGCCTTCCTGTCGGATTCATAAAATGAGACCTTCCGTTTTGAGGTACAATTTGTGACCTTCCAGTCGCGAAGCTATTTGATTAAATTTTGAATAAGCAATGCTTTATTTTTAATGACTTACTAACCTTCTTCTTATGTCCCTGTTTCGTTGTTCATTTAATCGTTTCCATACGTCAAATGCTTGCATGGGGGCAAATCGAGAAGGATGAATAGGAGGAGAAATAGCAATATGAGGTGTATTATTTGCCACAGTTTTGACATGTGCTTGTGCTAATTTTACTGTAATTATTTGACAATATAAATTTTAATACTATTAAAGTGCAAAATACATAAGTTTCCTACATTCTTTGTGAAGATAATTCATCCTCATCTCGTAATCATCTTTGAATGGATCAAATCCACCTTTATATTCGCGACTTAATTCACTATGATTAGCGTCAAATAATCCCGAGGGAAGTAGATTCAATCCGACCGATACAGATATGGAAGATGAAATCGGATTTGGTTGCTTTTTAAAATGTATAAACGGAATAAATTCGTTATTATTAAAAATGTTAAAAGATAGTAACAAATAATTATATACAGTTTTAGTGTGATATTGTTCCAACGCATCATCTTTCTTGTAGGGACAAACCCTATCTTGCAGATCTTCAGGAAGGGTTAAATTAGACACTTGAAGTATGACTAATTTTTGACGTTCAGTAAAGACTGGAGTCAAAATACCCGCTCTCATCTAAAAAGAAGATATAAGTAAATTCTACCTAATTAACTCATTATGTATAAGTCAAGGATTACCATTCTTTCTAATAAGGTTTCGTCAATGCGATGATATTCCTTGCTCAAATGAATTTTAAGCGACTCAATTGCAACTAATATAAAATTTGTTAGTACATAATTATATTTTTATTTCTTAACTTATCTAAATATCATACGCTTTAACATCTCAAACAAAAGGTCGCGTTGTAATGTCGAATAAAGATTATCCTGATGAAAAGGAAACTGTAATAGAGAAAGAAAGAAATAAATCTTATTATTTTACAATATTAAGCGATTTGCTAAAGCTACCTTAACGAGAACACTAATAATATTCTCAAATGGGCGCTCCGCGCATTTACGAGAGAAATGGAGCTTCAAAAGAAAAAAGATAACAGATTATTTTAAAAATAACTTTTTTTTTTTTGTTTAAAAAATTTTTAATACTTTATAATTGCGGCAAACCACAAGAAGTGAGTTGATTTCTTCTCTCGTGATAAGAGGAGTACGCAATACAGAGCGATCCGATTGTAATAGCTCATCAGTGATAACTGCGTCACATCCAGAAAATTCTCCTTTCCATTTCGGAAATACCGCTCTCATCAGGTCTTCTTGACATGATTGTGTACACGAAACAAGACGTCCTTTCAAAGGTTTCATATTGCGTGTATTAACTGCACGTTGCGCTTCTGCAGCTGTGGCAAATTCAATATATGCCTCAGAGAGAGTTTTCCCTGTTGAACTTTTGATTTTTTAACAGACACTCCGTTTAAAAATTATAACGAGAACAAAAATAAAAATTCTATTATTGTTCGTAAACTTACCGATCCATGATAATATGAAAGCTTTGTCCATATGAAGACACACTAGGTATCTTAAATGTCGAAAAAAAAGTTTTGACTTCCTTCAAAGAAATATCCCAAGGAATCTTCAAAATTATTTTCAAACAATTTTAATTTAATTTGTGACATAATATATTAAATATAAGGATAAATTCTAAAATTACATTGGAAAGCTTTACAACAGGCCAGTTGTGCGGAACTGCTAATTTGCTAAGTTCTCCAAATTGAATTTGCTGCGTCTTATGAGCAATATCGCCAGTCATAGTTTGCATTTCCAATGGGGCATTTGGAGGCGTAATACCCGGAAAAACCCAAGAAATTGGACCGAAAGGAACCTTTTCCGGGATGCTTTTTAAACAAGGCTGTGCCGGTTGCATTTTTTCATAAAAGCTCGATGGAGTTGGAAAGAACCCTCCTCCAGGCGGAATTGAAGAAATTGTTTTGAATTCTGCAATAGCCTAATTAATCGAATTAATGAGAAACGGTGTTGAATAAGAAAATTAAGTACAATACTGTATTTACCTTGCTGCAGTGTACGCATTCGGAATATGTCTTGAAAGAACTTTTTACGGTATCATAACGCAACTTTTTGACACATGGTTCACACATTCTTTAATAAAGAAAATAGATGTAGTTTTAAAGCTTCGTGTATTTTAATATTCACTAAAAATTACTATTATTTTTTATACCTATGGCCACAAGGCTTTAATAAAATATTTCCATAACGACACGCAATACAGTCAGATCGTGGATTGGTTTGCGGAATGATAAATTCTTTAGAAGTATTATCATGCATTGAAGGATTATTAGGCATCAACAATGATTGCGTAGCTGTAACAGATTGCGATAATTGAATTGACATAATTTTTTCAAGTGGTGAGATAACGGGTGAACTTTGATATAAACCATCAGCCTTATTCTCTTCCGCTATTTTTGACTAAACATACGTTTAAGCAATTAATTTAACGATTTTATTTATAATAAATAAAAATATGCGTACATGTCTATTGTAGATATTCTTATTGTTATATAAAGAATCTTCAGAAAGAAGAGTAGAGCTAGTTTGATTGCTTGAACGACTAGAATGACCCGAAGAAGCCGAATTTTCAGAATTAGTAGGACTAATTCCTTTATCTTCTTGACGCTTTCCATATGGTGTCGTCGTAATAATATTTGCTAAAAAAGAGTATAAACGTCAACAAAAAAAATAATACGTATTTTTATAGAATGAAAACAAAACAAATTAAATGAGATAAAATGCGTGGCGCAGTAAAAACCTTTACTAATCTTATCACATAATTGCTCAATTTGCGCGGTAGATACGGCCTTGTTCTTTTGATTTGGAGTTATTATTGAACGTGATCGTATTGGGTCGCTCATAACGGAATACTCTTGAGTGTTAGGATTTTGATTCATGATAAAATTTCAATAGAAACTGCAAGAAACTCGTTAATAATTGAATAAGGCTTGCTTATAATGACTCTGACGTGTCCTTTATTCCACTCCAAAATATCTTACTTTCTAAGACTTTATCAAGTCACCAAGTATTTCGTTATTAAGGAAAATAAAGAGGTATAAGTATGTTGTATAAAAATAAAAGCTGGGAAAGGTTGAAAGAAAAAAGGTATGAGGAAACGTGGAAAAAATATTATTTTATAAGCTTTGATTTTTTGGCGAAAGACTAATCCTTGTTGAACAATTTAAAGTTTCTTTAAACTTTTTCTATATATATATAGAATGATTAAATTTCTGCTATATATACAAAGCACAGTTTAACTGCTCTAAAACCAGATAACATTTAACTGATTTACTGGTTTATCAGTATTATAACATAACATTTATATTGAAAAGTAAAGCGCGTTTATAGAATGCCATTTACCAGATACAACAGATAAATTCAATCTAAAGAAACTGCTCTCATTATATTAAATCTTTGTCTGCTTGATTGATTTACAGGATTATAATTAATTTGCTGAGTTTAAATTTAACTTTTATGAAAAGTACTTTGTAATCATAATCCAGGTGTTACATTTCCGCTGATTAAAAATCAGAGTACATATACTTTAAAAGTAAGAGATTTAATATACCCTATAATTAATCTAATTCTACCAGAATTAAAATTTTTTAATCAATTTTTAAATAGGGTAAATTGATTTATACCCGAGGTATTTAGTCAGTGCTATGCAGTAGAATCTTTTTATTCAATATCATACGTTAGTTATCTCAAAACCACGCGTATAATTTAATCGCTCATTATACCGATTTGGGATAAGGTCCTCAGATTTAAACATGGGTACGAAACCGAAACGGGTTTAGGTTCAGGTACATATCGAAACTTAGTAGTTCATTTAGTTTATTTTTATTAAAATATTATAATACTGTATTAATTTAAACTTTATTACATAAAATTATATTAATAAAATTATATTAATTATGAATTAAAGTTACTTGCAACATAGTGCCTTTTTTCTATTTAAAAGACTTCTAAATTAAGTCAAAAATAAGATGATAAATTTGTTTAAGGTTTTGGAAATTCCCTCAGAGGTTTCGGGCCTGCCTTATGTTTGGGAATATACTGGGAATGAATCACGTCATTATGATTCTGTATATAAAACTTTTACGTGTAATTCACACGCGAGAAGCAGTTAAGATTTTTATAGTATTACGAATTTACGAATTCGGAAAAATTCGAAACACTAAATTTTATGGAATAACAGCCTTATCTTATTGTGTATGACATATATACCGGTAGTTTAAAAGTTTAAAATATACTGGTGTGTATATAACATTTATAACGGTTATATAACATAAATAATGTTATGTACCAGTTATATAACATATATAACATTAATATGTAAATTCATTAAATTCATTTTTTGATTTGTATACAAAAACTAAATCAAAAATTGAAAAGCTATAATACTGTAAGTAAAATAATTGGTAAATTATTTAAATGATATTCATAGTTAAAATTGATCAAAATTGTGGATTAAATAAAAAATTGAAAGAATGGTTAAAATTTTCAATTTCAAATAAGTTTTTATTCAAGATAATTATGATAAAACAAATTTTAATTTTCTATTCTTCTAATCAAAAGGATCAAAACAAGTCAAAAATGATAACTTTTATATATAAAATTTTATTAATTTTTTAAAATATTTGAAATATGATATCTCAAAATCTAATGATTATAAAAAATGAAACATATATCATTAGATTTGTCTCATTGAAATATATCAAATAATAATAATATCAGATCTCTAGTATCAGTATATAAATAGTTATTTTATTTTATATTGAATATTTAATGTTTAAATATCTTCATATCTAGTGATCACAGAAGGTTGAATCACATGTCATTAGATTCATCACATTGAGACAAATTGAATAATAGTTATTTCATATTTTTAATACTAATATATGCTGAAATGTCATTAAATGTTACTTTAACTTTAGGGCATTTTATTTCAAAATTTATTGATTCTATAAATATGAAAATACTATTATTAGATGCATTTTAGTGAGACAATTCTAATAAACCATAGTTCATTTCTCTATAATCATTAGATAGTGAGAAATCTTAAAATACAATTATATCTATTAAAAATACCTCGCTTTTATTTATTTTTAGAAATACTTAAGCTATTTTAATAAATTTTTTTTTCCTGATTAGTTTAATATATATATCACGTGATAATGATCATTAATTTACCGATCATATATTAGAAAATTAAAAATTACCCATTAATCAAATAACTGCTGAACTGCACTTTTAAAAATAATTATAAAATTAAAAAAAATCTCTTTAAATTTGGCGATCTTATTGGAATTTGATTGTAATTATTTATAACCTTAATACAATATTTAGAATTTATTATGAGGAACAACTTTTATTAATAGAGTTTTTTAATTTTAAATATAAAATTTTGACTATAATACTTAAAAAAATGAATAATTTTTGCAAAATTCATCAAAATAAATTTTTATGAAATAAAATGATTAAAATTATGAAAATTTTATATTTATTCTAATTATTATCATTTTTTTAGATATAATAATTTTTGAAACAATTTCTATTCTTATACATAAAGCTATATTGTATTTTGTCTTCTATATTTTTATATAATAAAAATAAAAATAAAACTAAGATTCGTAATATTTATATTTTTAATAATTTGTTTAATAGAAAAAGAAAATATTGAATAAGGTAATAGTAAAAGGAATTTTCTAATTATAAATTTATGTAAAGGTTTAGAATATTGAATTTTATTAAATAAAGGTGAAGATGAGAGTTGTACAGTTTATTCATTATCACTATAGTCATAACCCTATTATCACTACCTCTATTCTTATCTCTACCTTTATCTTTACTCTCTACCTCTAATATTTTCTCAATTTTTTCCATTTATCATCATCATTTCTATATTATTATTATCATCATCTATTAATAAAATATTTTATGATAATTCAGGCAATATAAATATTATTTTCATACTCTTATAAAGTTTTCATTATAAAAAATAAAAAAAAATTATAATTAAATAAAAAAAAACAATAAAAAGATACTAAATAAATAATTAATAAAAAAACTGAAATTTTAAAATGTTAACTTGCATGTTTATTTGTGTATTTGTAACTTAATTTTTAATGATCAGCAAAATTAATACTATAATTTTCATAGCCAGAATGTAGATTATATATCTGTAAAATTATATGACGATCTAATCAAAATTAAAGAATTTATTTAATATTGATCATTATAATTTAAAAATTATGAGCAAATTTGCTTACAATACAATTTAAGAAATAATATAATATTATAAATATATATAATACATTATATATGTTATATAATATTGTTTATATAATACTGCCTATCTATATATATATATAGTAAATATTTTTTTCAGTCCCATAATTTTTTGTAATATTTAATTATTCTATAATTTATAATTATAAATAACTACTTATTTTGAGCTACTTCTAGGGATTGGAATTGATTCTACTAAAATCAAATTAATCAAAAATCAAATTATCTGAATAGAATTAATTGATTAATCAAATCTAAAAATTGAATTTCAATAAATTGATATTATAGTGTAATAAAAATAATCTTACTATTTCTATAACTGTACTTTAATAAAAAAATTTCCATCAAATTACTAAAAACATTGATAAAATTAAAAATTATACATTAGAACATTTTGGCCAAAATTATAATACTGACCAGAATTATGAATTAATATGACCAATAAAAAATTTTATTTTTATTTAAAATAATATATTATTTAATTAAAATAAAATTAAAATAAAATTGAAATATTACAAATTATTATAATAATAATTTATAATATTGTCATACTATTAATCTAAGAGAATAGCCAAAAATGACATTATTTTTTAAGGGGAAAAAGAAAATTAAAACAGGACCTGCTTACTTATAATAAAGGTCATCGTAACTTTAAGGTAAAATCACTAAGAAAAAATTTTGATGATTTTACTATAAATAGATAAATTATATCCAAAAAAGAAAATGTTATACTGCATTATAATAATTTTTTTTCTTTTAAATCAATTAACCAATAATATTAAGAATTGGAATAAGGTAAAATTACTAGTAAATTTAAAATTTTTTTCGAAGACCTTTATTAGAAGTAAGCGGGTTCTATTAAAATCATGATGATGTTACATATTTTTCATTTTTAGACAATTGTAATTAATATAATTCTAGCTAGAATTATAATTTAATTTTACATTTCCAAAATGAATGATGATATAAAAAGGAAGGATCAAAAATCCTAAAATTTAAATTACATCATTTCTAGCCATCCCCTAAAATCTTTAATTGTCAATTATTTAAATTCAACTTAATACAGAATTTCATGACAATATATATCTGAATTAGATTCAAATAATATTGCAAATAGTAAAAATCACATTGCAATATTATATTAATTTGATTAGATTTAATTAATCAAAATCAAAAATCAAATCTTTAAATCAAAATTTAGATATGATTAATTGAATTTTTAATTGATTCTTAAGATTCAATTTTCAATTGAATCAATTCCAATCCCTAACTACTTTTTACACTAATCAATTTTAATTATACTTATTGTAAACTGTGAATAATACTTTAATTATTGATACTTTAATCTTCACTCATTCACTTTAATTTACAGTATAAAAAAATGTAAGATAAATTAGAATTTTTTATGTTATAATCTACATTATAATTTTATATATAATTTATTTCTAATACATTTTTATATTTAAATATCATCAATATATTTGATATTACTACTTTGTATGCTTGAGAAACCTGTAAAATATATCCTATATAACAAGTATTTTAAATTTTTTATTTTTCTATAATAAATGGTTTCTTCACCACTATATAATATTGGTGATTAACA